CCGGTGGTGAGTTTAGTTCATCCCCTCTGCTTAACCTATACAAATCCCGGGGCATTCTTACCCATAAATCATGTCATGGTGTGTCTCAGCAGAATGGCTTAGTTGAACGCAAGAATCGTCATGTGCTTGAAGCATGGTAAAGGAAACCGTACTGGAAGTCATATCGGACCCATCTGTGGTAGGGTATTTTGTGGTACGACCGTGGTTCAACCATTGTGTACCGGTAAAATACCGTTTCTGTAATTAAATAATATTTTTTTGTTAAAAAACCATACCGGCAGATTCAGAGTACCGTCTCGAAGTAATACTGGAATATACCGGATAACATCCAAAATTCCAATCAAAAGAAATTCGTTCCAAGGAAGTAGGAGAGTACAGATGGTTTTGGTTAGCATTTCGGTTGGGCTTAGTCTTAAGCCCAAATGATTTCTCCCTTCATTCCTCCTTAACTATTAAGGTTTTATTGTTAATCTGGGCCCAACCCTTTGAAAGCCCACATCGCTTCTGAAACATGGAGGAATAGAAAGAAGACTTTAATTTCTCTTCCTGTATCTCTCTCAATTCCATTTTCCCCTTTCTCTGAGAAATCTAATCCCTAGTTTTGCTAATCCCCATCTCGATCACAGACTCAAGCAGGCGTTGCAGCTGAGTAGGAGAGAAGACGAGCGAGGGCGGGGATTGGCGCGTTCTTGAGCAGCATGGGAGGGAGACTCAAGCAGGCGGCCGGCTGAGTAGTAGAGAAGAAGAGCGGCGGTAGGGATCGGCGACAATCGCCAATCGCCAGAGAAGACGAGCGGCGGAGCGGGTTTCCTCCTTGGTTTCGCCTGGGTCGCCGCCTTGCCGGTCGCAGTCGCCAGACGGCCAGAGGAGAAGAGGAGGAGCGGCGGGCGGGGCTAGGCGCTGGGGAAGAAAGAAACGACTGGAGGAAAGGGCTCCCAAACCCATATTAGGGTTTTCGGCGTTCTTGGTCTCTGGCCGATTATTTGTTTTTAAAAGAAAATTTAGCTCAAAAAACGGCAACGTTTTTCCTTGAAGTACCCCTACCGCCGGTTAGACCAAAACCGGACGGTATTTCCTTTTGTACCGGTTAAGTCGGAAAAACCGGCCGGCACGAGATTCTGATGCCAACCAGACTACCGTATCGTTCTTGGTCTGATTCTCGGTTTTTCCGGTTGAACCGACCGGTACGATCCGGTTTCCTGGTCCATGGCTTGAAGTCACTCGAGCACTTCTTTTAGCATCCCATGTTCCCACGTCCTTTTGGGTCGAAGCTGTTTCAACTGTCGTCCGGCTTATCAACTACCAGATCACTCCTCTCCTCGATAATACCAGTCCTTTCTACCGTCTTTTCTTGAAGCATCCTCCTTATTCTCGCCTTTGAGTCTTTGGGTGTCTTTGTTTTGTACTTCTTCCCCGTTCTGAACGTACTAAACTTACTTCAAAAACGGCGCGTTGTGCTTTCCTAGGCTATAGTGATGTCTATAAGGGCTATCTCTGTTATGATCCTGATCTTCGTCGTCTTAGGATTGCCTGCAATGTGGTGTTTTTTGAAAATGTTATGTTCTATTCTTCCACCTCGTCGAGTCCCCCCTTGTTTGATGAGTCGCTAGGTCTTCCTTCCTTTCTTGATGATGATGATGACGATGCTACTGATCCTGGTCCGCAGCTCGATGCTCCCTCCCCCCGGCGACGCCTCCACCTCCACCGTCTCCTCCTCAGCCGGGCCGGTCCAACCGGTCCACTCTAGGTCAGCCACCGATTCGTTTCCAAGACTATATTGCCTACAGTGCTTAATCGATCCCGATTCCTACTCGGTTTTCTTAGGCCCAGGGTGACCCAAACTGGGATGGTGCCATGCGTGCCGAGTTTGATGCTCTCGACCCCAATAAGACATGGTCTATTGTTCCTCGTCCTCCTCCACCAGTTCTGGTTATTGGCAGTCGTTGGGTATATAATCTGAAATTTTTACCGGATGGCTCTCTCGAACGTTTCAAAGCACGTGTGGTGGCTCAAGGTTTTTCGCAGGTACATGGTATTGATTTTGAGGAGACCTTTGCCCCTGTGGCGAAGATGGTGTTTGTTCGTTCGCTCCTGCCTGTTGCATCCATTCGAAAATGGCCTCTTTATCAGCTTGATGTAAAGAATGCTTTCCTACATGGTGATCTCAAGGAGACAGTGTATATGGAGATTCCTCCTGGTTATCCGCATGGCAATCGTACTGATCAGGTGTGTTTGCTTCATCGTTCTCTCTACGGCTTGAAGCAGGCACCACGTGCACGGTTTGAGAAGTTCCAGTCTACTATTCTGAGCCTTGGTTTTCAACAGAGTCGTAATGATCCCTCCTTGTTTACAAGGCACTCTCCTCGTGGTATCGTGGTGCTTCTCTTATATGTTGATGATATGATCGTCAGTGGGGATGATGTCGAGGGTATTTCGGCCCTCACCCAGGGTCTTCACGAGTCGTTTAGCTTGAAGAAGTTGGGCTCCCTGTCTTACTTTCTTGGTCTAGAGGTTCATCGGTCTCCTGTAGGTATTCATCTTACTCAGCAAAAGTACATTGATGATCTCCTCGACTCTTCTCGATATTCCGACTGTATTCCTGTCTCTACTCCTATGGAGCTTCACTTGAAGCTGGGGAGGGAAACATGCACTTTTTGAGTGATGGTGGTAAACATTATCGGAGTGTTGTTGGCAGCTTAATTTATTTGACATCGACCCGTCCGGATATAGCTTATACAGTTCAGATCGTTAGTCAGTTTATGTCCGCTCCTCGTACTGCTCATATGGATGCGGTCCATCGGATTCTGCGCTATCTCCAGGGCACACGTAGTGTTGGATTGTTTCTTCCGGCTATATGTTCATTTTTACTCCAAGCCTTCTCCGAATCTGATTATGCAGGATGTATCGATACTCGCCGTTCGACTGGTGGATGGTGTGTCCGATTGGGTGATTCTTTTATATCTTGGCGGTGTAAGAAACAGGAACGGGTTTCTAAATCATCTATAGAGGCTGAATATCGAGCTATTTCAGAAGTCACCTCTGAGTTAGAATGGATTCGCAGATTGCTTGGTGATCTTGGTGTTGAGTGTGAGGTTCCCATGCAGCTCTATGTTGATAATACGAGTGCACTTCGGATTGCCACCAATCTCGTTCTTCATGATCGCACTAAACACATTGAGGTACATGTTCACTACATCAGAGACCTTGTTAATGCTGGTACGATCCGAGTTTTTCATATCTCGTCTGAGGAGCAGATTGCTGATCTCTTAACGAAGGCCTTCACGTCTAGTCGCCACTCTTATCTCGCTAGCAAATTGATGATGCGGGACCTCCATCAATTTGGGGGAGGCTGTTGAGTGATGGGCTTTTAGCCCATGCACATGTACGTGTATGTAGTGTGTACGTAGGCCTAGTACAAACCCTAGGCCGACTCTTCTCCTCTCTCTCTCTCTCTCACGGCTAGGGTTTGTGGAATATGTATATATGTAACATGTACCACATTCAGGAGATAATAAGAAACACCAAAACCGCATTTGTGCCGTGGATTAGTCTCGACGATCATACGTTGAGGATACCACGTAAATCTGTGTCTCTCTGTTTCGATTACGTACGTTTCGATTACATCTCAATTTCAGTTTAGTTAACTACGCCTCCACTAGCCGGCTTTTTGAAGATCAATTTCGATGCAACTGTTTGCGACTCGGGATGCTCGTCTGGTCTAGTTGTCCGTGGCTCAGACGGGCATGTGGTGGTGGCAGTCGGTCAGCGTCACCAAGGAGTCGACCCTTATATGGCAGAGCTTCTAGCAGTGAGAGACGTTATTTCCTCAGTTGCATCGAGGTCCTTGTCTCAAGTGATTGTGGAAGGTGACTCCAAGGTGGTTATCAATCATATCTGACATGGTATACTAGAAGATTCTGTTGGAGGGCAGGTGCTCCGGGAGTGTCGTCGAATCTTAGACTTTTTGTCAGTTTGTATAGAGTTTAGGGCGGTTCCCAGAGCCGCCAACAATGCTGCCCATAGAGTGGCGCGTAAAACACTGCTTTTGTTTATCCTAGAGTTAGAGTCTTTTGATTTTTTTGGATGATTGCATTAGGGGTTTCGTTTGTAAATAGTACCTGAGTAATTTTGTTTGTATAACTTTTGTCTTAACTCGTAAATAAATAAATAAAAGACTTGTAGGCCTATATTGACTAGGGATGGCAATGGGTCGGGTTGGATCGGGTTTTGCCAAACCCAAACCCAAACCCATGGGTTTATATTTGAAAAAAATCCGGGGTAAAACCCACCGGGTTTGAAAAACTCAAACCCAACCCAACCCGTTGGGTATCCGCGGGTTCATGGGTACCCACGGGTTTTGTCGTAAAAAATTTACAATTACAAGTTCTTATCAAAATTAAAGTCAAATATCAATCTCTCAATATAAATTATCCATATATAGAACACCATTCTAGAAAATTCAAGCAAATCACAAATTAACTATACAAATTGTTCAACACCAATCTAGAAAACTCATGAAAATTGAAGCAAATCACAAATTATCCATAAATAACATGTTTAATTGAAAGCTTCTTTCTTTCAATTAAGTTTCTTTAGTCTCCACTCCATAACATCAACTTCATTCTACACAATTAAAAAAAAAATAGACATGTCTCCACAAACATAAATAAGAATAGTTGTTTAGAATATTAAATATACCGAAAAAATTAATTATATGAGTGGGCGGGTACCCACGGGCCGGGTTTACCTAAACCCAAACCCAACCCAACCCGGTGAATAGTGAACGGGTTTAAACCCAAACCCGGCCCAAAACCCGTCAACACGGATTTTACCCGCGTTGACCGGGTTGGGTCGGGTGGGTACCCGTGGGTTCGGGTTTTGTTGCCATCCCTAATATTGACCCTCACTGCAACCATGGATAATGCCATAAAACTTTAATTAGACTCGAGATTTAGTAGGCCTATCGGCCCAATGAAGTAGTAGACCCAAAGCCCAAACTCACCGCACCTCTGAAAACGCGACTGCCCCGAAAGCTTCTCTTATCCGAAAACTCACCGCATTCGTCATTTCCCTTCCTTTCAATCACAGAATTGGTCCCTGGAACGAAAACCTTCGCTCTGAAAATGTTGCCCGCTGCAATTCAATCCGGCGCCAATGGCGCTTCCCCCTTCTCCTGTTCCCTCCTCCACCAGACTCCCACAACCACCACATTCAAATCCACTGCTCTCGCCTTCTCGAAACCTTGTCCAAAACGACAGTTGTCCTCCGCTCTCGATCGAAAGCGCTTCTCCGCATTCGCTGCGCCGGAAACGGTGGCAGCTCCGCCATCGGAGGACGAGAAGGAAGTTGAAATTCCGCAATCGTTTGACAAAGTAAGCGACTGAGTCTTTTTTTTTTTTTCCAGCAAGTTTTTCTTTCTGTCTCCCGAAATTGTGTGTCTGATTACTGGTTGGTATATTTTTGGGGCATTTTCTTGGGTTCCTGTTTGGCAGATAAATGAGGTGGTGGTGAACCAAATGGCGAAGCCTCGACTGGTGCTTAAGTTCATATGGATGGAGAAGAACATTGGGTTGGGACTGGATCAAGTAATTCCTGGACATGGCACGGTGCCCTTGAGCCCTTACTTCTTCTGGCCTAGAAAAGATGCTTGGGAAGAGCTCAAGACGACTCTGGAAAGCAAGCCCTGGATTTCCCAGAAGAAGATGATTATACTTCTCAATCAGGCTACCGATATCATCAACTTGTGGCAACAGAGCGGCGGCAATCTCACTGCTTGATATTCCAGACCCTTAATGCGCCTGGTTAGTAGCCAAAAATCAGTACTTTATCCTGTGGGAGGTTGTCTGTAGATTGTGATAGAGATTGGTTTGTTAATGCTGTGGTGGCCTGTTTGTTCTTTGCACTGTGTTTGGGTCTGAAAGGTTGCAGTTCTTGTGTAACTGAGGCAATCTTCTGATGGCTGAATCGGCGATGGTTTTGGTAATATGAAGTGTTCAGTCAGGATATATTCATTGTTGAAAGAAACTCAGCTCGTCAACAGGTTACAAACAAGAGTGTAGGATTGATTTGTATGGTATTCAACCACATTCAAGCTATAGTCAATGAAGTAGTTGCTGCAGATTTTCACCTACCAGTCAAATGCTTGGTTACTTTAGTATGTCTTGATTGAGAAGAAGATCAAATGGCATATGAGAACAGCTGCATACAGCAAGTTGCAAGGATCTTACCGGCTGGATCCAAAAACCTGCAACATCTGCCGAAGTCCTAATGATGTGGTCTTCAGATCATTTCCCCTTGCTACATACAGCAACTTGCAACGATCTTACCGGCTGGATCCAAAAACCTGCAGCATCTGCCGAAGTCCTAATGATGTGGTCTTCAGATCATTACCCCCTTGCAGCAAGGTGATTTGATTATGGTGAAGGGGTTCTACTATAGATGCTTCTAAGGTTAAGGATCCTAAAAGAAAGTAAACATGAGAAGCTGTAAACCGGAGATCAAACCAATGGGTTGAGCATTCCATGACGTAGCGATAAGAACATTATGATACCATGTTAAATTATATCGATGTGATGTCTTATATATGGTCCAACCGATACAACCAATAGATACGATATTAATAGCCAACATAGGCATCTCCCTGACCTTCGTGACGATAATTTCACAATATGGTTTGACTGTTGGAGCTGAAGCCTGAAAGGGTATCTGTAAATGTTTCCATACTGCACAATTGAGAGGATTGAACGATGTTCAAGTGTGATCACAGATTCACAGGTCACCGAACGGGTGAAATTCATTCCTGATGGGCCAAGGAATACTGCCCAAACCTAAAAATGGGCTTACCAAGTGGCTTGTTCATGTAAAGTGGCTTAGCCGCTCTGGGCCCAGTTTACAATGGTGAAGGGAGAAGCGCACGCTTGGCCCAGTTTCCTAGTCTGCAAGTTTCGTTCTCCGAGATCTACTCACTCGCACTCGCACCCAAACAAGCATCGGGTCATCTTCTCCTCCAAAAGTTTTCCCGCGCATTTCCTCTGATTCCACCCAGCAGTCGGCAATGGCTCCCAAATCTGATAGCCCCGATGGTAAACTAAAATCACCTTCTCAATCTGCATCTCTCGATCTCGTTTCCTGTTCCGTATCCTTCTTCAATTAATGTCGATTTCCAGATTCAAAATTTCTTCTCCTACATCGCTTCCGGCAAGCAAACATCGATTCTCCATGATTTATTGATTCTGTGAACTAGATTCTCGAAGGATTAGCAGAAATCGTGCTCAAGTTCGTCAATGAGGTAACGTATATTTTGCTCTTCATGGTTTTCTCCTCTCGAATCTTCCTAGTTCATCCTCAGATTATGCTGTGTGGATCGACCTGATAGTCGATGTATTACTTCAAGTCAAAGTTAATTAGGTTTTTGACTGTGTGAATGGTTGTTCTCAGCTGAGGATTCAAAAAGCTGCATTCAATTGCTTGAAGAATCCTGATTCAGTTAGTTATGGCTTTCTGAATGTGAGAATCCTGATTCGGTTCTATTTGTGTATGCCTTCTATAGCAAAATCGGCCGTTGAATTCCCAAAATGTAGCCGATTCGTTGCAGAAGTACAACCTCAAGAAGACTGCCGTACAGAAAGCACTGGATACTCTTGCAGTCGCAGATACTGGGAAGATAAAAGTCAAGCAGAAGATATACATTGCTCGGCAGGACCAGTTCAAGATCCCAAATGCTGAAAATCTTACTGAGATGAAAGACGATAGTGCTAAGTTGCAGCAGGAACTGGCTGAACAGAAGGCGACTACTGCAGAGGTCGAGGGCAGGTAACCATTTGAGATTGCTTCGATCATCGCGAAACCTGTTTGTTTATGCGGGTATTGTGATGTTACCTAACACCATTGGAGTTTATTGAGCTTTTCTGTACCTGGGTTTTAATTCCATTGGAGGAAATATTGTTGCAAATGCGTGGTGGGGTTGCCTTGGTGAAGCCAGAGGAGAGGAAAGATGTTGGTGAAATGTTTAATGACAGATAAAGTCAGTGGAGAAAGCGTAGAAGGATGTTCAAAGATCTGTTGGATGCCATAACAGAGAACTCACCTGAAGATCTGAAAGAATTTAAGGTCTTAACTACGCAAGTATTTTGTGGCTTTGCAAGCATATTGTTATCATCCGATCCAAGTATTAATAACAGATGATTATCTGATGCAGGAGGAACTTGGGATTGAGCACGACGAAGATGTTGGAGTAAGCTTGCAGACACTTGCAGGTCTACAGCAGCCTGCTAACAAGCGACTGAGAAGCAACTAATGGAAAGCAGTCTGATTAAAGTTTTGGGTGCCAAAGGTCCTGGTATGTCTCATCCCTGACATAAACCTCATATTATGTAGACAAAGCTCTTGTTCGCAACTGGTGATTCTTATAACTCCGCGAAATGAACAAAGCTTTACGAATGAAGAAAATGCAGACCAACAAAAACAAAAACAACACAAAAAGCCAGTGAAGTGTGTACCAATCAACACTACAATTATTAGGAGCAACCTGCAAAATTTATGTACTTCCGACGAGTAAGGTTCTTCTCAGTATCCACGGACGTGCCTGGTCCTCACGGAGAAAGGCGCCTTGAGTATGTTCAAGGTCCTTGTAGTTCTTGATTCCCTTGAAGCTGGTTGTTGTGCATCAGGGTATACATCAACTGGTTCCACCTTCAACCCAGCTTGAATAACCGCAGGGATAATATTCTCACTGGACTCGGCACTTGCTGCTGCTGCCTCATGACCCCCGATATTGTCAGAATCGTCGGCGTTCATGATCCGGTCATCATTCTCCTCCTCCTCATCATCACTTTCATCATCGAATTGAATTTCCTTGTCCAACTTTCTTGCTAGACTCTCAGGATCCAGACTCGAAGAAGACGACTTTGATTCCGAAGCAGCAGCTTTGCTTTCGACGACGATTTCTTCATCTTCAGGTTCGGATTCAGACTCTTCCATCTCCTCATCTTGGCTCACCATCACTTCCCCATTACCATGGTTGTCAGGGCGGCGTGGATCATCGGAGCGAGAGAGCTCAACAGCAGCTCTTGCTGCATCAGCAGCATGGGCAGCTGACTCAAACGCTGCCTGTGCTGCGTCAGCCACATCTTTGTACTTCCTCTTCATTCTAACTGAATCAGTGAGACCACCATCTCTCTCAACGTCTTCTCCCGCTCTGCTGCTCGCCTTACGTGCTCCAGCTGCTGCTGCTGATGTCTCTCCCTCCTCGTCTTGCTTACTGCTCACGGCATTGGGTTTCGCCTGATGTGGTTGATCTAGCTCTTCCAAGGCGATGTTGTTCTCTGCCGCAATCTCTCTCAGCAGCTTGATTCTGGTCTCCCTGTCCGGCTGCCTAGTAGACATCTTCTGTATCATCTGCACAAGAATTCAGCCGAGACATACATCATCGTCAGTAAATCGATCACAGCCAGATCAATTGGAGTATGGATTGAGAACAGAGAAGCGAGAAGATATATATACACACATACCCTATGGCTGACACCACAGTTGTTGCGCAGTTCAACAGCGCCAGCAGCGAATTCCTTCCCGTACCGAGATGTCAACAGAAGGCGAATCTCTTGGAGCTCGGGGAAATCGCCGCACCTGGAGGATGCAAAGAGCAAGCTCGATATCGCCTCCTTCAGTTCATCGGGACACACGCTGGAAATTACGAAATGAAGATCAGAAGAGATCAATTCAATTCCGCTTGAAGATGAAGTTGTTTTTAAGATGAGTTGCGTACGCACCTTTCTTGTTCGATGAGATGAAGCCGCTCGACGAGGAGGTTGCAGTAATCCTCCATCGTGGCGTAGACCTCGAGCATGCCCTGCTCCCTGACGACGTGCTCGACGCGGAGGAGGGCGCGGTCGTGGTGGCCGAGGCGGAGGAGGTCGACGACGTCGGAGCGGGCGTGGTTGAGCTTGACCTGGCGCTGGTTCTTGAAGATGGCGAGGCGGGAGACGGCGAGGTTGGCGAGTGCTTTGAACTTGTAGGACTTGAAGTTGTTCCGGCCCAGAATTGCGTCCAGCTTTCTCCCCATTTGCTTAATTTCGCTTCCCTTTCCCCCCTTCTGATAGACAAACGAGAGAGAGAGAGAGAGAGAGAGAGAGAGAGAGAGAGAGAGAGAGAGAGAGAGAGAGAGAGATGGGAAGGTCGAGGCGGTGGAGGAGGCGCCGCCGGGAGAACGAATGAAATGAGTGGGTTAAATTTGTGGGAGTGTTGGGTTTTTATTTGGTGAAGGAAGAGGACAGGTTGGTTGGCGCGTGTTTTTCTTTTGCCGGTTTTTGTGTACGGAGACATTTCTTAGGAGTTACGACTCGTTCCAAGTTGAAGGTAGCAATGCAAAAGATGGGAGAATTGGTTTCCCGGTGTTAAAAGAAGCGTGCATACGGTGTCAAACGGGATTTTCTCTGATTTGATATTAGACTCACCATAAATTTTTTTTTTTTTTTACAATTCATCTGTAATCCAAAAATTAAGGTTCAGGGATTACATTGGAATCTTGCAAAATTTGAGGGACTAAAAAAATAGGTGGACTTGAGAACCAGATCTCTGTTTCCTCCGATCTGCATCTCACTCTCGCCATTTCGTGGGCACAAACATTCCCTTCTCTCTTCAAGAACCTCCATTCCACTCTTCCATCTTCTTCTGCAATCTCGCAAATTTCATCACAAATTATAGCCACCTCCAGATCTGTAGACTCTCGGCGATTTAGTTTCTGAATTAGGGTCTGGCAATCAGTTTCCATGAGCAGCGGCTGGGGATAGTGTTGTCGAGTGAGCTTCAAACCCCACATCATCGCCTGTGCTTCAGCCATCTCGATTGGCCATCTCGTCTTCGTCCGGTGAGTAGCTCCCATTAAGAAATGTCCTGCACTGTCTCTGACTATCAAACCATAACCCGTTCCCTCTTCTCCTAGGATCGTCGCGTCAGTGTTCATCTTCAGACTTCCTTCAGGGGGGGGGGGGGCTCCCATCTGGTCCTGCTTCGGTTTCGCGACAGAGATGATGATGGGTTTCTTCGATTTTGCTGCTCCACATACTCTTCCAGGTAATTTTGTGCTTTTGCCACAATTTCCCATTCCTCGAGCTTTTGATTGTTGAATAGATGATTGTTGCGCTCCTTCCATAGGAACCATAGCGTGATTAGCACCTTCATTAGTTCCTCTCTACTTGCTCCTTCAATTAGGTCACAGAGTCAGGTTTCGCAATTTTTCCCTTCTCCCCTCTTGAAAAAATCAGCTAGCTCACTAGGTCTCCACACTCTTCCTGCCCAGTCACAATCCCTGGTGATGTGTTCTTGGGTTTCAAGCAGCCCACAAAAAGGGCATTCGTCATACGCCTCCTGAATTCTTCAACTTAGGTTCATCCCTGTAGGTAGTATATTGCTGCCCCACCTCCATACAAAGATTCGCACCTTTGGTGGTAATTCCAGCATCCAGATTTTCTTCCAATCTATAGGAACATAGGTTTCCACCTGGTTCGAATTTTGTTTCTTTCTCCACTCCTTGTAGCCAGATCTTACTGAGTATTTCCCTGTTTTATCTCTGCCCCAAATCTGTAAATCGGGTTTAGGCTTGGGGGGGGGGGGGGGTAGTGGAATCTGTTCAATTTTGGTGATGTCATTTGGGTGGAAATGACTCTGTAGAATGTCATTCCTCCATGATATAGTTCCCCAGTCTATCAAGCTAGAAACCTTTTCAGTAATTCCCAGCCCTGTTGCTTGGGATTGGACTTTGAAGTCCTTAGTTTCTGGGATCCAGCGATCCCACCAAATTCTGATGTTCTCCCCATTGCCCACTCTCCATCTCGTTCCCTCTTTTACCAGTGATTGGGCCTGCATTAGGCTTCTCCATATGTAGCTTGGGTTTGAACCCACACTAACCTCCAAAATGTCACAGTGTGGATGATAGCGTGCCTTTAAGACTCTAGCCACCAGTGAATTAGGATTCTTAAGTAGATTCCAAACTTGTCTTCCTAAGAGGGCAATGTTGAAACCTTGTAGATCTCGAAAACCCATTCCTCCTTCATACTTGGGACGACAGAGCTTCTCCCAACTCATCCAGTGTATCCTTCTCTCCTCCCTTTTTCTTCCCCACCAAAAACTGGCAATCATTCTTTGAATTTCATCAATAACACCTTGTGGTATTTTAAACACTGACATGGCATAAAGGGTTTGAGCCTGCGCCACTGCCTTAATAAGCACTTCTTTTGCTGCCATAGACAAGAGCTTTCCTTTCCACATCTTGATCTTCTCTCTCACTCTATCAATAAGCTGTGCAAACACAGCTTTCTTGCCTCGACCAATAACAGTTGGCAGGCCTAAGTATTTGTCATGGAACATTACTCTCTTCATTCCAAGAATTTCCCCCATAGTCCTCCTGTCTCCTTCCTGTACATTCGTGCTAAAAGATAGCTCAGACTTCAATAAACTAATCTGCTGACCAGAGGCAAGTTCATACGTTCTGAGTATATCTCTTAGAGCTTCTCCCTGTTCTTTCTTGTTCTCAAAGAAAAAGATGTTGTCATCAGCAAAGAAAAGGTGGGTGATCATAGGGCCATTAGAACTCACTTTGATACCTTTGATTTTTCCTTCCTCAACTGCTTTCTTTGTCAGAGCAGAAAGCCCTTCTGCACATAAGAGGAACAGGTATGGTGACATAGGGTCACCTTGCCTTAATCCTCTTGAAGGTTTAAAAGTATGAGTTTGGTGACCATTAACCAAAGCTGCATAACTGACACTAGTGACACAGCTCATAATCAGTCTGACCCAGTCTTCATGAAAACCCATTCTGAGCATTATTCCTTCAAGAAAATTCCATTCCACTCGATCATAAGCTTTGGCTATGTCGAGTTTTGCTGCAACATATCCTTTCCTTCCTTTTTTCCTGTTTTTCATTGCATTAAAGCACTCAAAACCAATCATAATGTTGTCTGTGATGTTCCTGCCTGGAACAAAGGCACTCTGAGTGTCAGAAATAACCTCGTCCAAGATTGTCTTCAGTCGATTGGCAATCACCTTTGATAGGATCTTGTATAATACCTTGCACAGCGCAATAGGTCTGAACTCTTTTGGGGAAACTGGCTTCTTCGTTTTTGGTATCATTGCCAGTAGAGTATGGTTCAGAGTAGGGGGAACCACCCCAGTTAGGAGAATTCTTTGCAGCTCCAAACAGACAGTATCTCCCACTATGGCCCAATTTTTTTGAAAAAAGAGGGCTGGCATACCATCCGAGCCAGGGGCTTTGGTTGGTGCCATCTTGGAAAGTGCTTCAAAAATTTCATCTCGAGAAAAAGGCCTCATTAGCTCCTGATTCATCTGAGTTGTGACCTTAGGTTCTACTATTCCAAGCACCTCATCGATGCTGGGGGTATTCTCTGCTGTGAACAGATTCTGTAAATGCTCACTAAAACAAGACATAACCTCTTCTTGTCCCCTGAAAACTGTACCATCCTCACCCACCAGCTCTTTGACTGTGTTTCTATGCCTTCTATTAGATGCCTTGCGATGGAAGAAACCAGTATTTTTGTCACCTTCCTTTAGCCAGTCTGATCTTGATCTTTGCTTCCATCGAATTTCTTCCAAGTTAAGAACTTCTTCTAGCTCTCTTTCCAAAGCTCGTCGCTGAATAATCACTGCTTTGTTCTTCTTTGCTTTTGAGAGCTTAGACAGAGCTCTCTCAATCTTCTTTCTTCTGGCTTTCAAGCTACCAAAAGTCCTTCTCCCCCATTCTAGTAAAGCTTTTTCACAGTTCTTTATTCTATCTTCAAGTGGAAGATCAGGGTTCTTACTCCATTCAGTCTCGATAATGGTTGCACATTCCTCATGTTGTTGCCAGAAAGCTTCAAATTTGAAGTGCCACCCCCACTTGATTTGTTCTTCTTGAAAGTTTAGTTCAATCTTTATGGGAATATGGTCTGATACCCATCGATCTAGGTGATAAACCCTGGCCTCTGGAAACTCAGTCTTCCATTCCATATTGGCCACAGCCCTGTCCAGACGCTGTTCTAGGAAGTCTTCATCTATTTTACCATTGTCCCAAGTGAACATGTTACCATAGTAACCTAGATCCTCTAGATGGCATTCATCCAGGGTAGCTTGAAATTCCTCCATATTCTGAATGTCAGGTGGGTTCCTTCCATTCTTTTCCTCATAGCTTAGGACCTGGTTAAAGTCCCCACATAGTATCCATGGAAGATTGGACTGGCCATGCAATCTCTTTATTATTTCCCAGGTTTGGGGTTTGTTTTCTTGCTCAGGCCAGCCATAAATACCTGTAAGCCTCCCTTTCTTTTCCGCTGGACCCTCAGTGATCTAGATGTCGATATAGTTCTGGGTAGCAGATTTGACTTCAACTTTCATTTCCTCCTTCCATAACTTTAAGAGTCCTCCCGCTCTGTTTCTCGACCCTACTCCTCGTCCCTTCGTCCATCCCAACCTTCTTATTGTTTCCTCCCATTCATGATCTTTCTTTTTTGTTTTCATTAGGAAAACAATGCTGGGGTCTTGGTCTTTGAGTAGTCGAGCTACTCTAGCAACTGTCGTGGTTCTCCCCAGCCCACGACAGTTGTAACTGAGTATACTCATTGGGCTGGGCGGCCCTGCTCCATAGCAGGGTCCGCCACTTCGCCAACCATATTGTTTTGTTGAAGGTCAGTCTCATTCGGGGATCTTTCCTCTTCAAAATTTAGAACTCTGGCTTTCTTGTTTTGAATTGGAATCTCCCCCTCTTTTTGTTCTGTTTCCAAATTGTCTTTTTCCATTCTCTTCTGTGGAGTAATCTGGATATTTGTTTTGTGCCGCGGCATAGATTGCTCCTGTCTCCTCCACACTCTGCTTGTTGTTCTTTTGCTTGGCCATGTATTACTGACCCCAAGAACAAACTGTTGCACCGCTCCTTTGCATCCTAGTGACCCTGGTGTAGGGTTGAGGGCTTCCCCTCGATTCTCCTGGAGGCAGTGATTTCCTCCATCTTGTCTTTTTTCTGGCTGAATCTGTATCAGTTTCGAGGGACTATTCCCTTCCTCTGCAGCAGTCTTC